TGTACAGTATTTTTCTACATGATATTAGTAACAATTTGCAATAATAAAAGAATCCGAATGGTCACAATTAGTATGTTTAATTTAACAATTATTAGCATCGGACATAAGAATTTGCCTATGTTTTAACATTATATGCATACAAGTTAATCACTGTGATTATGAGTTGAAAAGTTTATAAAGTGTAAGTCATAACATAACGTTAAAACATAGGCAAATTCTTATGTCCGATGCTAATAATTGTTAAATTAAACATACTAATTGTGACCATTCGGATTCTTTTATTATTGCAAATTGTTACTAATATCATGTAGAAAAATACTGTACAATCAAAATTATCAATATCCATTTCCCTAAATGAGAGTATGGTAGTTAAAAACATACTAATTGTGACCATTCGGATTCTTTTATTATTGCAAATTGTTACTAATATCATGTAGAAAAATACTGTACAATCAAAATTATCAATATCCATTTCCCTATATGAGAGTATGGTAGTAAGTAATATTAAAATTCTTACCAAAAAATATAACCGTAATATTCATCATAAAATAGCATTTACGAGTAAATCTACTCAATTTCATAAGTAATTGATTGTGTTGTGTATTAAACAGTTTGTTCATTACAGGGGATCTCATAATCTCAAAGATTTGTGTCCACTCCTGTATTCTTTGGTCGACTGTCACACGAAATCTCATGTTTAAAACCACACCCAATGTATAGATGAATATGAGACAAACATTTGTATACAATTGTAAATCGCCGTAAAATAGTGTCAAATCAATTAACATGAGTTTTGTCTCGTAATCCAAATCAAACACAATACTTATAATAGATTTAATAATTAAAATTATGTAAACTATAGACAATATATGACTTATTATTACTTGTGCCGAGAACTCATTACCAGATCTAAGCCGGGATTTAAATGAATTTAAATAGTAATCAACCAAATAATTAGTAACATTATTATTATTATTATTGTTTCTAATACTCGGCCTAAGACTCGTCATATTTGCATAAAATAATGCAAATGAATAAAATAATGTTAATATTTGCTTAATAAAATTATTTATAAAAAGACATTTGAAGGTTCATTTAATTAAAATCGCAAAATATCCAATTATTAATAATCTATTAAATATACTAATAATTCATATTTTCATACAGTATACCTGTATAAGTGCTATTAAACTAAAGAAAATGTATAATCTTTGCGTAATATAAATATACATTTGTGATTGCATTGCCAAATACCTGTACTGTATATTGATTTCAACTCAGGTTTAATGTATTTTGATATTGATCATTTTATTATGAAATTGTCTAGTCTTAATTGCTTTCTATAATTTGTATTTGAAATATGGGTTTACCCAAAATGTTATGATCTTTATGATTTTACCATTAATTTTTTATATTAAATTGTATTGTATTATTATGCATGTAAAAATATTTTGCGCTCTTTTATGATTCAAACGTAAATACTATTATGCAATGTAAAATGTTAAATAAATTTCCAAAATAGTTGCCATTGATTATTGTAATTATGATTGACTTGTATTCAACGGGTATTAGGTCTTAACCTTAGGGTACAGTAGTGGTGAATACGATGACTATTACTGTATAAGCATAAGCTGATAGGCATCGGTTCGTTGGAGATTTTGGAGGGTTTGGAGGGTTTGGAGGGTTGAACTCAAATCTAGATATTCGTATACAAGTGTCAAATGTATCGCTCGGAACTCAATTTGAAATGAATGTCAAATCCATGATGAAGTCGAAAATATCGCCAAAATAGTCGAGTTATAACACGAATCAAAAAATATATAAATAATAATCTAATTAAACCTTTTTGTAAAAAATAATTTATTAAATAAATTAAATAAAATCATAATAAAAATAATTATTTTTTAAAAACTCCCGTAAAAAGTATATCAATTTCAAAAAGCAATGACTCTCGAGTCTAATCGTTTAGATTATAGAGATCTAGATAAAAAAACAAGGAATCCGAGTGCTAATGGTTTTTATGCTACGGGAAAACATTTGGACATTTATTTTGAGATGTATGATGGTCACATATTTATATAACATTTGTTTGATTTGTAAAAATTAATTCTTACAAAGTTGCAACGAAATAAAATTAACAATAGCAAGCAATTTTTAAATCTTTGTTTAAACGCTTAATATTTAACCAAAATTTAATGTTATAATAAAGCATTTGAAGAAAAGGACAGAAATTTAAATCCCTTCCCAAACACAATGAATCCGAGTGGTGGTGGGGGACAGCCTTCAAATCCCACTCAGGGTCCTCAGGTTCAAGACATTCTCGCAGACNTTGAAAGCCATAAACGGGTCCCAAATCTCCCTCTTGTCTGTCAGTGAATCCCAAAGAGTCGAGGAAAGATCGGCTCCCGTTTGCGTCCCATATATTGACACCAACTTTGGATAACTCTTTGCCGTCAGTACTGCCTCTTATGAACCAAAGAAGTTCTTCGAGAACTCCTCTCCAGAAGACGCGTTTTGTGGTCAATAGAGGTATGACTCCTGAGTGAGTGACCGTTAAAAGTATTATGATTTAATGCATTTGTATTGCAATTATCCTTATTATACCATCTCTTAGCGAATATCTGGATTGAGTGCCAAACACAGAGACAGTTCCCGTTCCCGTTCTGTCGGACTTCTTGTGTCCACAATCCATGATATGTCGGATCAGATCCAAGTATTGGTGTTCGTCATGCCTTTTATTATCACTTGTGTTGCCATTAGTTTGAGAAGACTCTTCATTGCATAACTGATCCATTGCCACAAGAATGACTGTAAGAGACAATGAAATGAAGGTATGTTTAGATCTTAACCTTTAAACCCAAACATGTGTTTCAAAAACAACAATAAAAAGTCAAAACTTTTATCAATTGTTTGCAAACTTTTTGCCGCTAAATATAATTCAGTGGATAATGTCTACAATGTACACATGAGTTCGTAATATACCTGGACAATATTGAGATAGTGAACCAGGTTAGTTTTCTAACTGTTAAACATAACGATTTTTATATGAGAAATCAGTACACAATTGTACGGTAGGTGATAATTTAGTTTAAATATTACTTAATTTACTGTAACTAGATTAGATTGTACTTGATAATCATTTATGTGAGAGAACTGTGTATAAAAACACTGTATTCAAGGTCTCATACAATTAGGGGTTAATATTCTGTACATCTGTTGTCACAGTTCTACACATAGTGTCAAAAGTATTAAATAATTTAGTATGTACGGGGTACTAAAAATTATTCATTATTAAAATATTTTCTACAGCAATAGATATATTTAAAATACCTTTTTGTCCACACCTTAACTTAAAATGTAAATTTAAGTAACAGTAACCGTATTGAATTATGCTAGATATGTGATATTCTACTGCTAACTACCATACTCTCATATAGGGAAATGGATATTGATAATTTTGATTGTACAGTATTTTTCTACATGATATTAGTAACAATTTGCAATAATAAAAGAATCCGAATGGTCACAATTAGTATGTTTAATT